TAATACTGTTATAATTTACTGAATGCCTTTTTACAGGATTTCGACCCGGTTGTTAATACTGTTATAATTTACTGAATGCCTTTTTACAGGATTTCGACCCGGTTGTTAATACTGTTATAATTTACTGAATGCCTTTTTACAGGATATCGACCCGGTTGTTAATACTGTTATAATTTAGTGAATGCCTTTTTACAAGTTCACGACCCGGTTCTTAATACTGTTATAATTGACTGGATTCCTTCTTACAGGCTCACGACCCGGATGTTAATACTGTTATAATTTACTGGATTCCTTCTTACGGGCTCACAACCCGGATGTTAATAGTGTTATAATTGACTGGATTCCTTCTTACAGGCTCACGACCCGGATGTTAATACTGTTATAATTTACTTAAGGAGTTCAGTAAATTATAACAGTATTAACATCCGGGTCGTGAGCCCGTAAGAAGGAATCCCTTACGGGCTCACGACCCGGATGTTAATAGTGTTATAATTTACTGGATTCCTTCTTACGGGCTCACAACCCGGATGTTAATACTGTTATAATTTACTGAACTCCTTCTTACAGGCTCACGACCCGGATGTTAATACAGTACTAACATTTCTGATAGTAGCTGGAAATGAAGAAGAATGGTTTACCATTGACAGGAAAAGGTAAAGGATTTCACTCGACGTTTAGTGGTTACCATAGTGATAAGTCGTGTAGATGTTTATACAATATATTAGTAAATAATGCTTAATCTACCGAAAATCAAACTACAAATAAAACTAATTTTTCTTTCGTTTTGAGGTAACACTGACGCTTAAAACTGGGTTAATTTACACGGGTTAAACACTTCTTATAACCTTCAAGTTGAGCACGAAACAATCTCTGAAAGTACACTTTCAGCCATATACGTCGTATACATAATTAATGTGGTATAGATAAAGAAATACACAACATAAACTGTTTTAACACATTAACTTTACTTAGAAGTGATACACACGCTCTTTGTGAACATTCTCACAGCTTGAATGAAAAACTTCTGTAACGTTAACGAGATATGGGATATTAATTTTAATTAACGCCTTCATTAATGCTAATTAGACTCATAGGAAGATAATTGGTAAAGATTTTTAAAAAAAATCCAAGCTATGTAATATCAACAAGTGTGCTTACTTTCATGCTCATATTGGTGAAGTAACTTATCCCTGTCACCAATTTATAACTTACGATAACATTACGTTTCTCAGCGGGCGAGTAACAACAGCCAGTGTACTGGATTATGAAGAAAGACAGTCGTACGACCTACTGATACAGGCGTCTGATGGACAGAATGTAAGTACCAGGAGATTAACATGAAATGTGAACTCGTATTGTAGACTGATTCTATATTTGTTTTACATAGTCAAGATGTTCAGGGATTAGTGTACAGTCATGTTATATAGAGATTATTGTAAAGTCATGACGTATAGTCATGATGTATCACTAATCTCTCTACATCATGACTATATAATCTCTATACATCATGACTATACATCATAACTTTACAATAATCTCTATACATCATGACTATACGTCATAACTTTACAATAATATCTCTGTACACTAATCTCTCTACATCATGACTCTACATCATGACTGTAAGATTAGTGTATAGAACATTTTCAAAATGCGATGTTTTGATTAAACTGGACAACAGATATCGGTTTTAGAATGTGTTGTTTAACTGGTCATCTGTTTTAGAACGGTATTATTTAACTGGACCTTGGTTTATTACGTCATTATAAGGTCTAAAATTAGTGTTTAACATGCTTACGGTTTTTAGTGTGGTTGCTATGTCAACGGTTTTGGATAGGTGTTAGCTGTCACGTTTAAAATGAGGTGTCTGCCATGAATATAAGGTTTTTGATAAGGTGTCTGCCATGTCAACGGTTTTGGATAGGTGTTAGCTGTCACGTTTAAAATGAGGTGTCTGCCATGAATATACGGTTTTTGATGAGGTGTCTGCTATGAATATACGGTTTTTGATAAGGTGTCTGCCAAGCCTGTGGTTTAGCAGCGCCACCACTACAGTTTTACGTGATGTGTTGGGCCAGGTCTACAAGAATATCTGATATCAAACTTTAGCATCAGCTCAAAAGTTTTTTAGCGATATGACAAATCAATAGAAACTTTAAAACAATGTGAGTGCTTCCTCGAAGCAAGATAACCCTAAAATGAACAAATAAACCTGGAGGAGGGCTACTAAAACACTATTTTTTCTCCATTAGACGGCAGTGGCTCCTCTGACTGTGAAGGTTGTGGACATTAACGACAAGCAGCCCGTGTTTACTCACAGTCATTACAACTTTTCAGTGTTTGAAGAACTTCAAGAAAACGTATCAGTTGGTACAGTGCTGGTAAGTATATCTAGTGGTCAGTTGGTACAGTGCTGGTAAGTATATCTAGTGGTCAGTTGGTACAATTCTGGTAAGTATATCTAGTGGTCAGTTGGTAGAGTGGTGATAAGTATATCTAGTGGTCAGTTGGTATGGTGATAAGTATATCTAGTGGTCAGTTGGTATGGTGATAAGTATATCTAGTGGTCATTTGGTAGAGTGGTGATAAGTATATCTAGTGGTCAGTTGGTAGAGTAGTGATAAGTATATCTAGTGGTCAAATAATGGCTGGAGACGGCTTAAATGGGTAATGAAGAAAAACTTTAATATAAGTTTAACAAGACAGCAAATGTACAACGTTTCGACAAGGTTTTGTCATCATCAACATGACAGCAAATGTACAACGTTTCGACAAGGTTTTGTCATCATCAGGTGATGATGACAAAACCTTGTCGAAACGTTGTACATTTGCTGTCAT